ATGGCATCAAAACAAAGGGACTTGGTTAGATAATCCACGATTAGGATACACCTGCCACAGGGACTCTTTGGGTTTCCTCTGAATAATGCTGAGCAGTGAAGCTTGCCGGTGTCTGGTTCTTTGGGCTTATATCTATGGCGACCATTTTCCTTTGTTATATGCTTTTTTTTCAAACCAAACTATAATACAATTTACAATATGACAAGCCACAATTTGGGTCTGCTTCCTAAGATTACACTCAGATCACCTTTAGAAACATTTACAGGCTTTCAAATACTGGGCTAGGCATGCACATGGTAGTCTCTTGGTTGATTTCAACAGAGGGCCACCGTATCCATTGTGCCAAGTAGGTTTTACCCTCAGAGAATGGCGTTTTTTGCCTTGCATGTATTCGTGATCTGGAAGGAGTGTATGAATCCATTATAGTTGTCCCCATGTACTGCCAATTATATAGTTTAACTCTCTTTAAGTGGTTATAGAGAAACATGTATATCTAGGGTGAAACAGATCACCAGCCCAGGTTGGATGCATGAGACAAATGCTCAGGCCTGGTGCACTGGAAAGACCCAGAGGGTTGGGGTGGAGAGGGAGGTGGGAGGGGGGACCGGGATGGGGAATACATGTAAATCCATGGCTAATTCATTTCAATGTATGACAAAAACCACTGCAATGTTGTAAAGTAATTAGCCTCCAACTAATAAAAATAAATGGAAAAAAAAAACTTCACTGCTGTTTTTCCTATGACTTACTGATGCCAGACCCTTGTTCTTAAGATCAGTTTCCTACTTATTGTTTCAATAGGAAAGCCCAGTCTGTCCTAGTAGAGGTAGAATTTATTTATTTTAAAATGTTGGAAATATCTAAATGTAAATTTTGAAAGTCTTGGAAGTCAAGCATACATGTTTGGTTTGAAAAATGAAGGAATTTACTAGAATTCGGTATAAAAGGTCCAGGGAACATGAAAAGTAGTTGCCTTCACGTAGTAATGGCTTGATTTGAGGTATAATGGAGACTCAGACCTTGGAATTGTGAGCCAGTCTCACTAACTGAATTCTTACATTACCCTGTCCAGCTGTACACCAGCTATTGTCTGTATACTGACTGTCCACAACCAGGCTTAAAAGGCCACCCAGTTTACTATTAAGAAAACCAGTGTTAAGACCCAGTGATGGCCATATTTGTCTGCATCAGTTCTCATGTTTTTAGTAACTCAAATGAAGTGGTATAGCTGTCTATATACATCCGCCAAAACCTATGGCAGCCAGGAAATCCTTGACAGGTACCAGTTGGTAAGTTCCTTGAAGGCAAGAACCATTAGCAGCAACAATAGTGGTAGCAGCAATAGTAATATCTGTGTGTAGTGCTTTGTAGTTTTTTGAAGAGCCTTTTCACCTAAATTTTTAAGTTTGAATTTCACTATTGGAATATATAGTGTGTAGGTATGTTGATAACCATTTATACTTCTAGTCAGACATAACCTACATTGTTGTTACTGTAAGTTTTTGGCCTGATAAATGGGACAGTGTATTTGTCTCCTTTGATTTGTCATGGTACCTTCTTTTACAGACAAATTTAGTTGTTTTGTGAAATTTTAGGCTATACCTCTAAGGATTTTTAACATCAAGTTGATTGTTTGAGATGAAAAGCAAAACTAAGAAATCAATGTCTCTCTTAGATGGTGACTGCCCTCTAAATCCTCTTACTGATTTTTTTTCAGTTGAATACAAATACAAGGCTACTGTCTTTTTTTCAGTCTCTGTACCATTCATTCTCTGCGTGTGTGTTTAAAATTTTTTATTGAAATACAGTTGTATGCAATATTATATGTTACAAGTATACAATGTAGTGACTCACAGTTTTTAACGGTTATCTTCCATTTATAGTTATTATAAAATATTTTCTATATTCTCTGTTGTACAATATATCCTTGTAGCTTATTTTATACCTAATAATGTGTCACACCATTCATTCTTAAAATACATTCCAATTAATAGCAGCTTTGTTTGCATACATTACTTCTGTAGATATCAGTGTTTTAGATCTGTACTGGCCAGTATGGTAGCCATTAGCCACAGATGGCTAATTACATCTAAATTTTAACTAATTATAATGAAATAAAATGAAACATTTCAGTTCCTTAGTCACACCAGCCACATTTCCAGTGCTCAGCAGTCATGTGTAGTTAACGACTGTCACATCAGAAGAGTATAGATAGAGAACATTCCACGAATGCACGGAGTACTGTAGGACAATGCTGTTCAAGGTGACTGTTAAATAATTTTGCCATTGTTTATGATTTTATCTGCAAGATTTATGTTTCTAAATACATTTAATAAGCCTGTCTGTGTGATGTAAAATATGTACTTTAAGTATGCTTTTTGAAAATATACATGAACTTTTCATTTTCTTAGCCCTCTTTAAGTAGCAGGTCTTACAGATAAGCAGCAATGAGAACCCAAGTAGAAACTCTATGTAATGATAAAAATGTTCAGTTTCTCTTCCCTTTTGTGAATATTTGGTTAAGTGCAACAGAAAAATTGGTGCAGGAACATGATCTTGCAGTACTTACAAAGTGCATGACAGTCAAATAAGGAAAAGTAACCGACTAACAATAATCTTAGATTTCATGATGCAAAAATTTAGGTCAGTTGTACTCTCATCAGATTAAATATTAATCAGAGTTTAGCTTAAAAAGGCATTTGACCACTGGAGAAGCTCTCAAGTGTAAAGCTCATATTAAAAATTTGATACCACATGTTAGGATCTTAAGTGTTCTGAGTTAATTTAGTAAGATGTTGAGTATATCCCATGTACCTTTTCTTTCTGCATGTATATTCAGGTTGTACAGAACTAAAGGAAACTTAAGACTGTCATTCAAAGGCTGTATTGTGCCATCAATGATTCAGGTGACTTCAGGCTAAAGATTCAATATCCTATCATGTATTCAGATTAACTAGGACAGAACACTCAGAAATGTCCTTGATCCTTGGTGGGGTAAGCATGGTATCCAGAGTAGCTGAATGTAAGAAACCTATTTACTATAGGTGACCAGCACTATGCCATGGCAGAGGATGAGACAGGATAGGTCTTGTTCAGGTCTTGTTTTGCAGAACAGAGATATTTGCACACACTGAGTTCCAGATAGATGGAGAAAGTTGTATAAATATGAAAGAAGTGATCACCTTTTAAAAACAAGAGTAAATCCTGACAGAATAATGGTAGTTGTTGTGTAAGTGTGATTCTATGTGATCAGATATATATTTAATGCCATTTTCACTTTTAAAGGCCATCTCTTCTCTGCAAAAGAAGACAATATTAGAGACTCAAAGGACAGCTGTGGTTTTTTTTTTAAGACCTTTCCACTAGTTGGGATGATAAGTGTAACATTTACATGGAAAGCAAATGCTCCCTCCTTTATTTCTATATTCATTTTAGATCTTCTTCACCTAAGTAGCAGCTTGTTATGAACATGAGTATAGAAGGGAGATTTTTATTCATATTTAAAGAACATCAGTAATAAAAACATTTCCCTAGCAGTGACAAAGAACAGCCTTTGTTTAAGGGTTAGGTATGTCTAAGGAAGTGACTCTTGTTAAGAACTAAGGAATAAAATATAATTCATCTTATCTTGTGTAAGGAAAATTGTCCTAACTTGCATGCTGCTGAGTGCTTAATTTACATTTAAAGCTGAAGTAATGAAGCCTTTATTTTTTGCCAGAAACTCCCATTTCTCTCCCAAATATATTCTCTATCAGACAAAAAAAAGCTCATTATTTTGCATGGTAATGTGTCTTTGCTGATGCAGAAAAGCAACATAATTTAGGATGAAGGATTAATTTAAACTTTTCCTATGTGCTCTTTTGAAGGTAATTAAAATTATTTCTAGGGATCAAAAGGTGGGTTTGCAGAGCACACCAAAAAGAATAGCTTTATTCTCTGAGTTGCAAATGGAAGGGTTTAGTCCTCACCAGGAGGAAGAGTTCCTGAAAACTCATGGATTTAGAATTTTAGAACTTTAGACCTCATGGTAACTATAGTCACAGGGGGTCTGAAATTGGGAGCTCTTAGGAATAAACAATATTTATAGTCAGTTAGACAAATCTTCTAAATACACTACAAATGACTTTTAATTTATATTCTTATTTAGTAATAAGGGGTACTGTGTATTCATTTTCATTCATGATCCCTTGTTTAATAGAAAATATTTGCTTTGTTGGAGATAATAAGCATTGAAGCTTTTCCCCTTCTCCATGGCTAGTCTTCTATCTATCTAGCTCTTCACTGATTTTCAAACTCTGAAATGGTTGAAGCCCATCTCTGGGGCTCTCCACCCCCACGCCCACTCACTGCTGGCTCTTAGATGCCATCAGTGTGTGGTTTGGAGTCCCAAGTGTGCTTGAACTCACCTTCTTTATTTTTCCTGTGGTTTCATTCCTAAAGTCTTTATTCCTATTCTGCCATCAGCTCTTACCTTTCTTTCCTCTTCCCAATTCCAGCTCCATCTTTCTCTGATTATCCCTGACAAGATTGAATCTTAGTGCAATTTGCATATAATACTGAAACTAAATGTAGTTTTGGAAGTTACCCCCAAAATACACAGAAGTAAATTTGAGAATACGCAAGCTCCATTTAATAAGATCAAACATGGGAAATTGGTGTAGTATCCTGCAAGTGTATATGATTATGTTGGCTCTCAAACTCTACATGTATATATACCCTATGTGCGTGGTCCTGTGTTCAGTCCCTCAGTTGTGTCTGACTCTTAGTGACCCCATGAACTGTAGCCCGCCAGGATCCTCTGTCCATGGGATTTCCCAGGCAAGAATACTGGAGTGTGTTGCCATTTCCTCCTCCAGGGAATCTTTTTTTTTTTTTTCAGATAAAATATTATAGGTTTATTTAAAACTTAATTCTCACCTTGAGTATGCAAAATACAAACTCCACAAAATGTTCATTTTTTTTTACTTTGTAGTTTACAAATATAAAAAATAGAAGTTTGCTTAAATTTATATTACATATTTATTAAGGCAAGGAACTATATAGAAAAAACATTTGTTCTGCTTAAGGCATACTTGGGAATAAACCATTGTACAAATTATTGCACATCTGAAACCACAGTGCATAACAGACTGTCTGCATAAAAAGATTAAAGTAAACCAGGTGTATTTACCTGACTTAGGTCATAAATGTAGATCGGAAGACAAAAATAGATTTTCCTTGTCAAAGTATGCAGCAGTTTGAGAACTTTGGCCTCATTTGGTACCTTTAGAACCAAGACTTACCAAGCACCATCGTTTAGGCTATTAAACACCATTTTCTGTACCTGAATTTCTTCTTCCTCTTCTTCTAAGATCGTCATAATGGCTTTTAGAAGGCAAACAGAATACAAGGTGATCTTTATGCTTATATTGCATCAAAACAATTCTCAAGGGGTTCTGGTCTTCCCTCCCCCCAACTCTCAGATCTAATTTATACCCTGATATCCACAACTTCCAGTCACCCCCTTGGCGTTTTGTAAGTCCAGGAATATATATATTCAAGTTGGATTTAGAATTGGAATGATAGAAGATCCAGTCACAGACCCCATCTGGTTTTTGTTTTGAGTTTGTCTTTTGGTTTCCTTGTGTCTCCTGATTATCCATTCACAAGTTGACTTGTTGGGAACTTGACCATGATTGTAGTGCTTTCCAGCTGGCTTCCTCCCCTCACCGGGAAGACAGTGTGAAAGGTAAAAAATACTGAACTCTCTTCTGGCAGTGTGGGTCACATCCACTGTTTGGGGATTTAAAAGTGCCTCTTCATATGTAAGGCGAGGTGGTCCGACCTCGAGAATGCCCGGTCGCACTTCTGGCACTGGAAGGGGCGGTGCCCCGTGTGTTTGCGATAGTGCCTGGTCAGTTCATCTGAGCGGGCAAACTTCCACCCACAACCGTCCCAGTCACAGTGGTAAGGTTTCTCACCTGTGTGGGTGCGCAGGTGTGCCTTGAGATGAGAACTCTTGGTGTAGGTTTTGCCGCAGCCTGCGTAATAACAAGTGTGAGTGGCCGTCCTTTTCCGGGGCCAAGACCGTCTCCCCCTCTTGGGCTTTGGCTCCTCTGGCATACAGGAACCGGGTGGCATGAGCTCTTGGGAATGGAGCGGTGGGACCTGCGGCTACATCTGGTCGGGCAGGAAGGGAGGGTAGTTGGGCCCGGGGTGGGGATGGAAGCCCGGGGGGAGCGGCAGGGCAGGATGACAGTCCCGGCTGCTCAGCAGTTCCTCCGCACCCAGGGTCGGGGTAGTCCTGCTGGGGAGCTGCCGCCCCAGGGGAAAGTCGTGCGCAGGCGGCCGGTGGCCATTGCTGAGAGGAGGTCCAATGCGCAAGTGGGCCTCTAGGGGCCGACCGACGGTGCACGAGGAGACAGCCTCCTGCTTGATCTTGGGGCACATGCGTGGCGGCCTGCCGCTGTAGGGCGCCACCACCACTGGATGGCTGCCGTCCGGGCTGCCTTTGCTAACACTGATGACCGACGGGCTGCCGTACTCGCTGCCAGGGGCACTCAGTGACGCCTTCAACACGAACTTGCCCATCAGCCCGCCACCTGGCAGCTGCGGCTGCTGCGGCGGAATGTACACTGGGTCCAATTCGGGCCGCAGGAGCTCGGCCACGGGGCCGCAGGAGCTCGGCCACGAAGCCGCCGGAGGGGCTCACATCGTTGATGTCCGCCAGGTTGAAGGGAGCCGTCGGAGGGGGTGCAGACTCCCGGCTGTAGAGGAGGCCGCCGCCCGCGCCGCCCGGCGCCGCCACACCCGGGTCGCCCCCGGCCCGGATTGGATAGCTGAAGCTGCAGGTGGAGGGCGCACTGGCTGGACCGCTGCTCGACGGGGAGGACGAGGATGAGGCTGATGCCGAGGAGGACACCGTGGCGGCCACGGACTCCTGATGGGACAGCGAGTTGGAGAGGATAAAGTCCAGGTCCAGGAGATCATTGAACTCCTCCGTCTCCTTCCGGGGCAGGAGAGCCGGGTTGCTGCTGCCGCAAGCCGCGCTGACTCCTCCACTCTCCAGGTCAGTGGCCACGGTCGCGGCCGCCAGGTCATAGGGGCGACCGGGAAGCACTGGGGAAAGTCGCTTCATGTGGGAGAGCTCCTCCCGCCAGCGGTTATTCGGGGCACCTGCTGGACGCAGAGTCTTCTCCCTTCCCGCCGGGCCGGACGCGAACGCGGAGAAGGACGGGAGCAGCGCGTCGCTGACAGCCATGTCAGACTCGCCAGGCGGCTGCCTCATTAATGTGGGGGCCCAAAAGGTCCTCGGAGTCCGAAGCAGTAGGGGTACCCGAACCCCAAAGCCAAAGAAGAGGAAAAAAAAATTAGAAACGAAGACAAAACCCAAAACCCCAAATTGCCCGAGATCCTTCTTCTTTGGATTAAATATAAAAGGGAGATGCCTTTAAAAAAAAAAGTTCCTTTGTATACGAAAGTTCTTAGAAAAGTTGTAAACTCGTAAAAATAGACAATCAGCAAGGCGAGTTAAGTAAGTCCGGTGGCCAGGATGCGCTCTCTTCGACTCAGCAGCGTCCCCCACCGCTGTCGCGGTCGCCGCGGCTATCGCCGTGAGCGCTGGGGCTGTGGCCGGGGTGGCGGGCGGGCGGCGCCGCCAGGTGAGACTGGATGCGGTGGCGCGGATCTGCGGACTGGGCGGCGGCGCGAGGCGCGGAGCAGGCGGATTCTCTACCACTAAGCCACCCAGGAAGCCCATATATACCCTGTACCTACATATATGTAAGTATCATTTAACCTAAGAAGAACTTGCAAGTGTTAAGCTAAGTGTTGGAACTTCCAAAGTTTCCAACGCAGTTGTAGATTTCACATTCAGTGTGTTTCCTATTAGTCAGTGACATAATCATTTATTGAATACCACTTTGAATTTGTAAAGAGATGGACATGTTTTACAGCCTTTTGGAACCTAGTTAGTTCCAAAATAGTAAAAGCTTCTCAGCCATTCCAGCATGAGAATTTCAGATCCTAGATAGTAGTCACCTGGTGACTCCTGAAGCCAGGTCTGTGCCACCTATCTTCACTCCTTGTCACTGGGAGTGTCCCAGATGGGGTGGGAATGCCATTGACCCTCCCTCCCAGCCCTTCCCAGCTGGCAGTCATCAGACTTTGGAAGAAGCAAAACAGATCCTTCTTGGAAAGAGTTTGAAACTTTTGTTCTGTGAGTAACTGCATTCCTGATAAATCCTTGGTTGTTGTGTTGTTTTTAAATTTATTCCCGAGGTTTAGCCTGTGTTTTTATTTTTTAGGAAAGATTCTATGCATTGACAGTTCAGTTCAGTCGCTCAGTCGTGTCCGACTCTTTGTGACCCCATGAACCACAGCATGCCAGGCCTCCCTGTCCATCACCAACTCCCGGAGTCCAACCAAATCCATGCCCATTGAGTTGGTGATGTCATCCAACCATCTTATCCTCTGTCATCCCCTTCTCCTCCGGCCCTCAATCTTTCCCAGCATTAGGGTCTTTTCAAATGAGTCAGCTCTTCGCATCAGGTGGCCAAAGTATTGGAGTTTCAGCAGTATGCTGTACTTTTTAAAATTTTTTCAAGAAGTAAACTGGAATGTTCTGATTTTCATGTTGTTTAGAGTTCTTATCCCAGGGAAGAACATCCAGAAAGATAGTGTATCTAATTTGTGATTATTTCCCCACAATTTGGTATTCCCTGTGATTGGAGCTTTATGAGTTTTTCTTGTAATCATCACTGTCATTGTTAAGATTTATGTACTTCTTACTCAATAAGGTTGGCTGTTTGTATTGGTTTTGTGAGTACTTGGATGAGGTGTGTGAAATAAATTCAACTATTCAGGCATTCTTGTGACAGAAAATACCAGAGCTATTGCCATGGTTCATCAGAAATCAGGAAAAAAACTTCATCATTGGCCTGAATGAACTGAAGTTCATAGTAAGATTGTGGCCATTATTCATTACCTCTTTTCTTTCAAACAGTAAAACTCTTGGGTTTCTGTGGACAAGGCTGCTTCTTAATGGCATGTTCTCCAAACAGCTGTTAGGCACCCCCTCCCCAATACCACAGACCACATCTGTTCCCACTGTTGATTAGCTTGAGGGTGGAGAAAGAAGAGAGGCTGTAGCATGTGTAATTACCAGTAATTAATTCTTGTTGAGCCTCCTCATTTCCTTCTATTCTAACTCCACCTACCCTTCTTCCTGTCTCTGTTGTAAATTCTATTTCATGTTGGCTACTTGTGGAAAATAATCTTGATGGGTATACAGCTGTTTTTCTAAAATTTTACATTTACCTTACAGTGAAGCTTTTATTTTTCTTCTGGTGGCATAATCTCTTGATAAGGCAAGACAAATAAGAAAATACTAAAGTGAGTACATCTCTTGGGGCTAGTTTTCCTGCTTTCTTGTGTTCTTTTTCTGTTGATGCTGTTTTCAACTGTTGAAAAATATTTATCAAATATATTCTTCCTTAAAGGAACTAATGCAAGGCATGAAAAAGTGTGAGGAAAACAAATATAAGAAATAGTCCTGGTCCTTATTAATGTGCAGTGTAATTAGCGACGTAAAATATGTGCATGTAAAACAACGATGTAAGTTAACATATAATAGTTGTAGCATATAATAATTGCACAAATTTGTCAAGACCATAAGGCAGAGGTAGTAGTCTACTATTTTTCTTTCTCTTTGGGATAAGGTAGGGCTAAAGGAAATATGAATTTGAGCATTTTAATTAATATGTCACAGTAGAAGAACTATCACAGGCTTGCTCTTTGAAGAAAGTTCACAGTAATGTTTACATATCTTAAAAGCCTAGGTTTTCAAGATGTGATGCTTTTTATGAGCCTGTTCTCAGGAGAATGGAGTTCAGGTGGAACATTTCTTAAAACTGCTTGTTTTTAAATTTTCAAATAAATTTAAAAATGTATTTGGTGTATCAGTCAGCAGGAGAGAGATGATACTGGCATTAATAGGAGAATGTGATAAAGGAATTGTCTACCAAAATGTGGGTAGTGTATATAGTACAATCGCAAGACAATTGTGGGAACTTCCTGGCTAGTAATAGCAGGGATGCTGAACTCTCAGGTGACAAGGAATAAGAGAAGGAACAGATGCCTAATCCCCAAGGAGAGGGTTGGGTAAGGAGGGCCTTCTGATCATAGATGGATAGATTCAGCCAGCCCTGACATGAACCCTCAGGGAGAAAGCCAGCGATGTAGCCTGTGCTCGTTTCTCTCCAAACTCAAGTAGAAATGAGGGGACGAGGGAAGCTTTGATGTAGTCTGTTAGGTCACCCTTCCCTCCCACAGAGCAGGGTGGAGTGTGGAACTGGATGAGCAAAAAGCAAGATACGTGGCATATTTGGAAGCTTTGTAAGTTTGCCTAAATATGAGAAATCTTTCTTGGATAACACAGTCCTATACAGTAAATAATCTCTGGCAATAGGAGTATGGCAGGAATCGGTATGCTTCTTGACATATCAGTCACTTCTCAAGCATTTGCACAAGGAGTCATTGATATAGGTTAGTGGTTCTCACTCCAGGGGCGATTTTGGCCCCTGTGGTTTATTTGACAGTGTCTGGAGGCATGTTCGTGTGTGGGCTTTGTCGTTAGGATCTGGTGGAAGGTAGTGATGATGAAGCGAAAACAATGAAGTGCCTTTTTATTCCATCAGGATAGGTGCCCAGATGGTTGTTTAAGAGTCTGATCCAAGCAATGACCATTGCTTTTGTTGAGAAGTAATGACTGAGCTTTGAGTTCAAGTGGTGTTCTGAGAATGAAGCTACAGACAGCATAGGTTGTGCACATTGAATGTGACAAAGGGTGGGGAAGTCAAGCCCTAAAAGATAAAGAAGTGAGACCACTGAATAATTGGAATGTAAATGGCAAGCTTCTCAAGGGCATGGACCTTTTAGGTACCTTATGAGCAGTGAGCACCATGTCTCGAGCAGTACAGACTGTCAGTACCTATTTGTTAAGGGAATGAGTACCCTTAATTGAGAAATGGTTTGAAACAGAAAGAAAGGCTCCAGTGGAAAGGACAGATAAAAATGCTAGGAAGGGAGGAGGTGAGATTCTTATGTAAAAGGGAAAAAACTCTGGGTTGCAAAGAAATGAGAAAGCTAGGCCTTAAAGGGCATATTGGTTATGCCACTCTAGCTCATTGCATCTCCGGTTTCTAGACTTTATGTGTTTCCCTCACCTGAACCTTCGTACCTCATGGCTTTCTTTTCTTTAAGATGCAGTAGGTAGGGACAAGGATATTTAAATGATGTTTAATGGGACAAACAGAAACCATTTGTGCCTTTCCTCTTTTATCAGCACTGCTTTCCCTCCCTTTTAATATTAAGGGCATCATGCCCTGCATGGACCCTGAGCTCCTCCTCACTTTGGACTCAGGTGAAGATTTAGGTATGCCTTCAAAGAGAAGATTTTTAATGGATCAGTCCATCGGCGTCGTACTTGGCGTGACTGGCTCAGGCATCCTGTTTTTATATTCCTGCATGGCAACTCTTGAGTTCTGTTCCTTCCAGTGTCAGACAGGGAAAGCTGCTTACTTGGAGATAACCGCATTTGTCTTTTAAGTTCCCTAAGGGCAGTGAAACTCCTTTTATGTTGAATCCTTTCCTCATTGCTGAGCCCATTGTAAATGCTTATTGAATACGTGGGTTTATGGAGGGTTACTCCTAAGATGGCAAAGAGAAGTGGTAGAGTGAGATAGGCAAGAATATATGTAAGAAACCTTGACCATGAAGTGTTCTGTCTTCTGAGTGGCACATGACAGTAATTTGCCTGATGTGTTCAAGAGAATTGGGTATAGAATTAATAAAGGAGAGGAGGAATTCAAAATGCTGGAATGGGAGCTGGAGGTAACAAGAGAGGACGCTCTTTGGAGCAAGAATCTGTTGCTGATGAAAGCTGTGGCCTGATAGTAGACAGGGCCAGGTAAATATGAAATGTTTACCATCAAGACTCATCAGCATCGTTAAAATAATGTCTCCCATCCAACTTTTTAGCAATCTTGTGTGTGTGTGCTCAGTCACTCAGTTGTGTCTGACTCTTTCCAATCCCCTGGACTGTAGCCCTCCAGGCTCCTCTGTCCTTGGGATTTCCCAGGCAAGAATACTGGAATGGGTGTCCATTTCCTCCTCCAGGGGATCTTTGTGACCCAGGGATTGAACCCAGGTCTCTTGGGTCTCCTGCAGTAGCAGGGAGATTCTTTACTACTGCACCACCTGGAAAGCCCAGCTAATCTTGTAGATTTTTTCTTTTTAAATAAACGAGCTTTATCGCTGCTAATATCAGAAACATGTTTTTGCTGTCTTATCACAGATGTAAAAGAGGCACCACATCTACCTACCCATGCTCAAGCCAAAAGTCAAAGTTTTATTTTGGGTTTTTCTCTCTTTTCCTGACTTCCCACACTCAGCCTGAGCATGTCCTGATTCTACAATACTTCCCATCCCACCTTGCTGCTCCCACCTTCACCCGTGCCCATGCCACCTCTGCTCTGGACTATTGCTTCTATTCCTCCATCCCTACAACCAAGTCTCCATGTGCAGGATCTGGTCGTTCCCTTGGTTTCATCCCAGCATCTGTATTTCT